TTAATTAAAAAAAAAATTAGTTTTTAATTAATTTTGTTATTATAATTATTAATTTATTTATTATAATTTTTATATATTGTATTATATATAAAGAACACACCTCTCTAAGTTTCAAGGTCGGTGGAATCCGTCTGGGCGAGCACAACATCTTGACAGACCCCGACTGCGAACGCGGATATTGCGCTGAGCCGGTGCAAGATTTCGTACCGAAATCGATAATCACTCACAAAGATTATAATAAGCCGGTGTTCAAGAATGATATAGCTATAATACGGTTGAACAAGCCGGCGGTTTACAACGGTGTGTATATAAATAAATTAATCTTAATTAACCGACTACAATCGATTAATGGACTATTGATCAAGATATGAATATAGTTAAATAAATATTACATTTCTTAAATTAATTTTTTTTTTTTAAACATAACATGAAAATTGTGATCATACCTGATCGCATTTTTAAATAAAACATAATTTTGAAAAATTGTGACACAAAATCCATTGCATATCAGGAAATGTTTGATGTACAAAGCCAATAAAAAAAAATTGCCGTGTATTATTCGGAAGAATGTAGACTAGATTGTTTTCCTTCATTTTTTGAAATGAATCTAGCCTTTGTTGCTGAAAATAAATAATCTATTTGTTTGTTGCGATCTATATACAGAACTTCATCGGTGAAACGGCGGAAGTCGCCGGTTGGGGGATATACGATATCAGTAAGACATTTTCGCGAAATCCATGCTAAAAAAATATTAAATATTTAACATTTATACTCCAGATTTTTGCTTTTTTATCTGCAACAGTGAACATCACTTTTGGTAAAAAATGTTAGTATATTCCTGGATATAGTCAGGAATATTTTTTTCTTTTTCGTTTTTAGTCATTGAAATTGCATTTAGATCGATTGGGTCTCATAGTTGTCTTTAATTTAAATTTTGAATTTTTATCATTTCATTGTCAATAGATGATCCGCAACCCAGCACGATCCTGCAAACGATCAAGATACCGATCGTCAAAATGGACAGGTGTGTGCAATCCTTTAAGAACTTCGCGCGGATGTCGGAGCAGCATCAGATGTGCGTGGGCGGTGTCCTGGGCGAGGATTCTTGCGGGGGTGACAGCGGCGGACCCCTAATGAAGGTGCAGAGTCTGAACGGGCTGACTAGATACTACTTCATCGGCATCGTCTCCTTCGGCGCGAAGGCCTGCGGCGCCTCCCAGACTCCAGCCATCTACAGCAAGATCGCTGCATATACCACATGGATCCTGGAACACATATCCCCGTGAAATTAGTTAGATTGTTCACTCTAATTATAGTGAAAACAAAATTTGAAATTTGTCCGCTCGGCTTTTTATTTCGTGAGAAGAAAGAGAGTCTCGTGTTTAGAATAGTTTTATTTAAGAGCGCAGTCATTTTTATTTAGAATATCGTCGGGACAGCGAAGTCGTCAAAAAGATATCTCGTATATAATTGATGAGAATTCTTGGCATTAATTATCTTAAACGTGTGAAAATCGCTCTTGTTATTAGACACATTGTATTATTAAAGATAAATTATAATTAAAGAGTTAACTGTGAGAATAAAGATCGACAAAGGAAACCGTTTTTTATCTTGCCACGTGCAGCCAACGAAAATCAAATAAAACCTGCAAGATTTTTTCATTCCGCAAGCGTTCGATCGCGCTCGGAAGCAATTATCTTCGAAACTCGATTGCAGAAATCATATTCAATAAAAAACTCGTAATCTCGCAGGACTTTGCTAAATCTGCAATTATCTAATCGTTTAATTATTTATGGAGGTAATTAATAGCAAGAGCCACGTGGAAATAAATTAAACGGTAAATCTAATTCTATTAAAATTTACATCTAGCCACATCAATTTAAATGCATACATATATACATTTGCTCAAATTGAAAACATCACGATCTCTTCGTGCAAATTGTAATCGCAATACCCGATTCTTTCCGCGAGATTCACGTCATACATTAATACTGAATACATCAAGAAATCGGGATGTTCCCGTTTTGCATCGCATAATCTGGATTGTATTCGATCACGCACGCAATATTGCGGAGAGCTTTGGTTTTTTTCTTCAACATTAAATCTATCGAGGATTGAATCATTTTTTCGCGGAAGCGCACGCAATCGTGACAATTAAATATGCGACAATAGTATTGGAAATATACAGAGTTTTAATCGTAAATCTAAAATGCTGCTGGAATACTCGATACAATCTCTTTCTGCATGTTTTGAAATGCTTCCTGTGGAATTTTAGCACATACAAAAGTTTCTCAGCGTGACGTGGAGATACTATTAGCATAAAACGTTGAGCCATATGATTTAATGCCAACGTTAATGCAGTTTTATTATTTCTAAAGTGCACGGACAAACTTTATAGTTTTATTTAATTAACAGATATACATATATATGCGTTCGATAGCTTGTAATCCACTGTATATTATAACATAATTTGCATTATGCCACTATGAATTATGAGCTAACGCGCATATTAAGATATCAAATTGCTACTTTGACTCGATCGAGAATTATTGATGACTTCATATATAACGCTATTCATAAAAAAACGTTAAGATTGACTTTACAATCCTAATATTCTTGTCTACAATTCAGAGATTAACTCCACGTGCTCCAATTCATCGATAGTGAGATTAATGACGTCAAGATAGCTCTCCTCCTCTTCCTCAAATTCATAATTTGATATTAACATCATGAATTTGCGAGCAAACAGGTTCTCTAAAATCTGTGTATCGTGTAAGGTAAAAAGAAAATCGGAAAGCAAATATTGGGTCCACTTAAATGTCTCCAGGTCTCATAAGATTTTCGAATCTTTCAAGATACGCTAATTTTATATGTTTCAAATGTTAAAATTATGATAAATCGATCAAAAACTGGAACAAATTAATTGATAATTAGTTTATCAAAATTTATGTAAATATTGAAAATATATGAAGCTCTGTATTATGTGTTACATTATACATATAAAATTATAACCAGAAAGAATAAGTACTGTGTAATATGTTTTAGCTATTATCTAAAGGTACCTTCGAAAACTTTTTTAAACGGTGCTGACAAGAAAGCAAGAAGGAGTAACGAGGAAATCGCCACCGGCTTATAAATCAGAAGCGGAGGAAAGTCCCAGTCAATAAGGTTGTAAAAATCATCGTAATATTGAGACAACATTAATACAGGTGATATTAATTTCTCAAATAAATTACATCTGTCGCTGTGATTCTGATTTATATGAAAAATAATCACGGTGTCTAGAAAGAAAATATATATATATATGTATATATATAATATATATATATATATATATATATATATATATATATATATATATATATATATATATATATATATATATATATATATATATATATATATATATATATATATATATATATATATATATATATATATATATATATATATATATATATATATATATATATATATATATATATATATATATATATATATATATATATATATATATATATATATATATATATATATATATATATATATATGAAAAAATATATATATATATATATATATATATATATATATATATATATATATATATATATATATATATATTAAAATATATATATAACGTATAATAAACGCAAAATAAAATACAATAAATATACAAGAGCTTACTAGAAATAAAATTATTCGAAAGGATTTTATTTTCTGCAATCGTTTCTCGAAATATATACTCTATATGTCTAATTGTGTGATAAAAGCGCAAATTTTCCGATGATTCCTCGATTGGTTCGTCCCTGCTAATTAGCTAGAGCTAGACGAAGCCTGCTGATAGTGGTGGTGGAGAGTGGGGACAGTTGTTGACCCTGGCTCCGGTTACTTTATCATGGACATCATCGTCAGTTAGCATCCTGGTCTTCGGCACGAAGGCATAAAACGTAAGGAACTGCGCGTGATCGTGCGAGTCCTGCCGTGAAAGTGCGCTGTGATTGTCTCCTGGAATTTTGTTGATAACAGTAAAGTTGAATTATTTATCGAGGATGCTGACGTCGGTTTCGATTTTTCTCAAGTTACTGGCGTTACTGATTGTCAGTATCAATGCGCGTAAGTAGTTTCTTATAATGTATTGAAAATGTAAGATATAAATCGATATTAGTTCAGGAAAAATAGCTGAGAGTTTAGGTTTATAATTAATTAAAATTTACTTAATTCTTTCGTATATTTTTCTCTAGAACAATTTCCTCTCTAGAAAATATTAAGGTATCGTAAAGACGTTTAAAATATGTTCTGATCTTTCAGAAGATCTTAAATTTTATACAAATATTATTTAAAGTTATGTTATCTACGCTAGTTGGTCTTAAACGGCAAGGATCAAGACTGGTTCGAGTTGTTTCATCAAGGTTATTGGTAATTCAATTAAGTGAGTTTCTGGTAAATAAAATTAAGAAAGAAGGAATTTAATAAAGGATAGAGTTCACGCATTGTATGATATTATCGCAGGCCATCTGAAATCCTTTTCAAAAAAATAATTATCATAGTTTTTTTCTTATTCAGAGACGACGTTGAATTCAATCATAATGACAATTTATAACAAGCTATTATATAAAATCTTTTAATTTATAACATATGTGTTTGCTTATAATTTATAATCTCAATATCTTCTTAATATGCATAATTTTTCTCTTGTAATTCTTTTTTTATTTGATGTGTGCGATGAAAGAAAATAAAGCGTTGATCGTATCCAAGGTCGATACTGTATATATACCACACGTATACAGCATCAACACGTGATAAAATATATCTGAAACTTCGTTACAGTCGCTCATGTATCTAAAATTTTGTTTTAATCATTGATGTAAATTTAATCATCGCGGAACGTGATTATCCGGGTTCGTGACATTATTAGTTATCAATTTATGACTATGTTTCCGCGAAAACAAAAATCAGATGCCAGTTTTTCATCGATTGCCTCTCGTATCATACGGGACATTATTTTGCGTTACATCATCAAATTAATAGCTAACATTAATAGCTAACAACAAGTCAGGAGACAAATATACCAACGGAAGCGACGAAAGAGCATGCATGGATTAGCTTTGTTCAATTTTGCGCGTATCGCTGAATCTCAGGATAGATCTCGATTTACAAATATTTCTCGGATCATCCAAAAATAATATATATTAATGTGCGCATATATGTACGTGTTTATATCATCATTAATAATAATCAACTTTATATTATATATAAATAAATTTCGTAAATTATATAATATCAGTAATTTAATTATCTGTCATATAAATAACACAGTTTTCTGCAATTAATATTCATAGTATTTATCACATTATACAATGTTAGATTATATAAAAAACTGGAAATTCTTGATGGTTATCATTATAAATATATTGCTAGACAAGATGACTATAAGCTATAGAACAACATGTATCAATTATTAAAGCGGCGCAATTATGCAAAACTATTAACACTCAATTTATGCGGAATCGTTACTTTTGCTAACACAAGACGAAATTAATTATTAATCCATCGCGTTAAAGTTACGGTTGGATATGAACTAAAAAAATCTTATCTGTAATTTTAATATTAATATGATACGCAATTAATTACACATTTATACCTTTTGTTTAAAACGGTTCTTTTCTTATTCTGTTTTCTATACAGAAAATTCGCGGACGGACTGCAGAGTTGACGGCCAGGTGGGCGCGTGTATATCTGCTCGCGAATGCCCGATGGTGTCCACTATCCTGCAGCAATCGCGTGATCAAGCGATCGCTTACCTGAGGCGCAATCACTGCGGCTTCGAAGGCAATAATCCGCTGGTGTGCTGCATAGGCAACGCAAATATCAACATCCGTCCTAGCGAAACCATAATCCAGAACCCCGGAACCACCCCGGGATGGAATCCCATCCAACCATCTAGCTCGCCGATTAACGAAAACATCCAGATCAATCTAGCGGACAACCCGTTGTTGCCGAGCGACTGCGGCCGAGATCTGTCACAGAGGATCGTTGGTGGCGAACGCACCGAGCTCGACGAGTTCCCTTGGATGGCGCTATTGGAGTATCAGAAACGTGAGTGGAAAGAAAGAAAATCCAAAGAGCGAGATGTCGGAAAATGTCTCGGAAAATATAAATCGATTGTATTATGCGATCGATTGTAACACCAAACGTATAAATTATAATCTCATGAAATGTTCTTCGAATGACATTACAGCCAACGGCAGGACGACAGCGTGTGGCGGTGTCCTGATCAATAAGCGCTATATCCTTACTGCTGCTCATTGCATCAAGGGCAAGGATCTGCCGCCCAACTGGCGGCTGACCAGCGTCCGTCTGGGCGAATACGACACCGATACCGAGCGCGACTGTGTGCAGGACAGCGAAGACAGCGTGCTGTGCGCCGACAATGTTATCACCGTGGGCGTAGAGGAGCAAATCGCTCACGAGGAATATCGGCCGCTGTCGCGGGACCAACGTTATGACATCGCGTTGTTGCGTCTCAGCCGCGATGTAGCGTTCACCAACTTCATCAAGCCTATCTGCCTGCCGTCCAACTCGTCGCTCAACGGCAAACTCGTTGTAGCCGGTTGGGGCAAGACGGAGATCCTCTCGGCGTCCAATGTCAAGCTGAAGCTGGCGTTGCCACTGGCGGACAAGGATCAGTGCGATCAGACCTACAGCAACGCCGGCGTTCGGCTGGGCTACGGACAGATGTGTGCGGGAGGTCAGAAGGGCAAGGACTCGTGTCGAGGCGACTCGGGTGGTCCTCTTATGTCCGTCGAGAGGATCGCCGATGGCACCGGGAGGTGGGCCGCCGTGGGCGTCGTGTCCTTTGGACCGTCGCCCTGCGGCATGCAGGGCTGGCCCGGAGTCTACACCAGAGTGGTAGACTTCGTTCCTTGGATCATTAGTAAACTGAGGGCCTAATATAAACATCGTATACAAAGGAAATCATTTTTCTGAATATTGCTCCAAAGATTCTTTCGAGAGATTGGATTAGAAATGGAATTAAAATTATGCCAATCAACGTATTTCTGCAATCTGAACAAAATTGCGTTAGTAGAATTAATCGGAGCTTAACAAATATTCAACTCTACATTATTAAAATAAAGTAATATACAGGGTGATTCAAAACAACCTTCTGTCCTTACAATGTCATATACTTGACTCAATTTTAAGTTGCGCAACACCCTTTAAGGGTAGGTATTCTGAATACCTGCGTAATCATCGCAGCGAGCGCTTCATATAATCATCAGCATCGGACGGTAAGTTGCGCCGCCCTTGCCTGCCTCGCGTACGCGGCCCGTAATTCGTTAATTATTTTGGCTTATAATTTGAAAACTAAGCCTCGGAAAAAATTTTGGCAAAAGAAAAATCGTCTTAGAATTGAGTCAAGTATATGACATTGTAAGGACAGAAGGTTGTTTTGAATCACCCTGTATAAAGAATTGTGTTCAAATTTTCTTTAACGAAATTGATGAAGAGAATGCATCGGAACAAATTCTTAATCATGATAAACGTGTTATTAATAAGACAAATACTCGATATTATAATAGTATAATAATAATTAAAATTTAATGTCTTTTTCTTGTGTTAGCATAAAAAGTTGGTGCAATAGCTTTGATTGTTTTGAAAAATTAGTCAACTGTATTCTCTATAATATCCCACAAATATACTCAATACTAGAAAGAAATTTATAGCGATGTTAATTGCTCATCTTTTTATGTGTATTTATGATATATATTTATAACAACGTTTTCAAATACTTTTATAAATTTTATTTAAATAAAGTGCAGTTTTTTGTATAGATTTAGAACAAACTTTGCAATATCAATAATCGATAAATCGATATTATAAGAAAGTTATAGTTTAAATGTAAGAACGTCAGTGTGTATAATGCTGAAAAAAGCGTTTTTTTAAGTTTTTAACAATACATTAATAAAAACAAATTTTTTTAAATGTATTGTATTAATAAAATCAAATTTTACTTTTTTTCTTATATACATTATATTTTATATATTTTAAAATAATTTTCTTTCTTTTAACATTTATGTTATATATATATAGGATGTATTGGAAAAATCGTGGTAAAAATGGAAATGAAAAAAATTTTTTATGCAAATGCAAATGTAGAATAAAATTATACAAGCTCTGCTTTCGAGAAAACACAATTTTCTATGCATCCTGTATATAATCATGTTGTGATGTCAAATCTTTGGTGCACTTTTGGTGCACGTAAATATCTATATATTCGAAAAATGTTATGTTTACCATTATCAGTAGATCGTGACGTTACTTGCAATATTTCTTATTGGCACAATTTTATTTATTTAATATAAAATAAACCAACATTGATTTTCCTGGTAATTGCATTAATTTTCAAGGAAAACGACAAGAACTTGCAATTAATATTGTCACGAAAAATTATGTTGACGATTACATATATTCGATATTTGCAACGTTATTTGCCGCAGGGTTATCAACGCGCTCGGGTCATTAAGGAAATTAATACAAAGCATCTCAGTAATCTTTGCGCTACGCAAATTTGATATCATCAAGGCCTTCATGCAATAATGCGAATTAATCGAACACTTCATGCTAATGTCAGTGATTAGCATGGTTGCCAGAACAAGGTTCAGAAAAAGAAAGTATGTCAATTCAGTGCTCGATTATTAATCGTTATTTTATAAAATTAGCATTAAAAAATTTATATAATTTATTATATTATAATTATTATATATTTTTTAATGATAAGCTATGTATTTTTGACATCACGAGAATCTTTGCAGATAAACAAATTTCGTGTCTTTTTTAGTCATCGATTGTGATAACAAGCTAGAAGACTGCTATTTTTGATGAATGACAATAAAGGTGAATACTGACACTAACTTTCCTCAATCAACAGTGATTAAAATTATATTTTATACACAATCAACACAACAACATAATACGCTTTCGATCGTGCAGTAATGTTTCTGGGAATTTTCTGTGATTACAAAATCCGCGGCGTCACCGATTCTCGATTTATTTATTGCGAAATAACTTAGAATTATCATCTTCCAAACGAAAATAATTTGTAAATACGTTAAATATTATAGCATATTTATGAAGTCATTATATTATATAATACTCTTTTTAAATAGTTTTCTATTTTTCCATTACTTTTTTTCTAAATTAATTATTAATCATGTATGATATTGAACTTAATATTTACTTGATTTATACAATAAATTTTTTACATTACTATATTTAGAATCGGGATCAAATAGAATAGGAAGCACCACGTCTTATTATATGAATTCACTGTCTATTTTTCTAATGTAATTCGTTCTAAAACAATATTAAAGCAATATTGAGGGCTGTAAAAAATATGCTGATTGCATAGAGCTCAAAAGTTTTGAGACAAACCGAGCAATAGAATTTGTTTAAAGAAGAAACATAGAAAAAAGAGGAAAAGTAAAACGTGGCCCGAATCCAAAATAGAAACCTTTTAAATGAAAAAAGAGAAAGAAGAAAGAAATCAGGTAAGAACCAGAATCAAAGATGAAAATAAAGTTCGCGACACTGCAAAATTTAAATAAAAAGATTAATTCAAGAAATTTGCTTATTCTTTTTTAGCAAAAACCATTCTATTTCAAGAAACAAGTCGTCGAAAAATATAACATTCTAACGTTCGACCGGTTCTTCTTTTTCTTTTCCTTTTATTTTATTTCCGTTTGTCCTTTATACAATTTCCTCACATGGGTTTTGCCTCTTCGGGAAAAATTCCTATGACTTCTTTTTATCTTTTTTGCTTCGATCTACAGATTTTATTTATAGACGGCATTAATTTTCTTTCAAAAGAAGAAATGCCAATTCTACCTTTTTATTTTGATTTTTCAAAATGTGTAAATATATATTTATTTGACTTTTTTTTATTTACTCAGAACTTTAATGATAATAATTTTCAATCAATTATATAATAGAGTACAAAATAGTTGTGATTTTGGGATTAAATATTAAGAATTTAACATATATATTTTCAAAATTTTAAAGTAAATAAAAAAATTAAATAAATATGCAATAAAATAATATAAATCCATAGATAATATATGCACAGTGTAAAAAATAAAAGATTGCCACGATTCTCTGTACTAAAAAATCACCATGTTTTTCCTAATCAAAGACTATTTTCATATTTATTCGGGAAGATATAAAATTCACTCTATACACATACATATCATAATATTACTATCTTGAATGAAACGTATCAACACTAATGTCTCCATATGGCAGTGTAACGTCAATTTGTATGATAGCAAGTTCAAACCTCGAACGATAAGGATAACTCGAAAGGACGACGACGGAATTTATCAAGGAAAAGCTCGTGCGTTTCCAATTTCTTTGAAATCATGCGAATTGCGAATGACGATACAACTCTCTAATCGGCAGCGAATCATAACCAACGGTTCATCGGGATAATCATCCCCACCAGTTTTCACGATCCAACAGATTTATTAAACTCAGCAGGTAGTGGAGAAACTTAGTTGATCGCAACTCTCGCGGATGAATCCATGAGTGTTGATTCCAACAGATTCCAAGTTAACTCGCGTTACTGCGCGATTTCGTGCACCCACAAGGCTACAGATCAGTGCGAATCGTAAGTGGGACAATCGCATTCTCTCATACGGAATGCGAATTTTTTATTCAAGGAGCATCCGGCAATAACCTTCGGAGCAAAACGAAAAAATCTCCGGCTTGCTTCGATCCGTGAGAGAGAGAGAAAGAGAGGGACGGACTTACAGGAAGAATAATAGCTATAAGATACTACAGAAATAAACATGATATTCATCGGATTGTTTGTTCTTTACCTGGCTATAACAGCTATCAATGCACGTGAGTAGTTTTTTAAATAAAACGTTGCTATTTTTAAAAAGAGATTTAAAATAGATTTTTTTCTTATTTTTTATAAGAATAATTTTTCTTGAATACATTTTGTCAATCTGACACCTACAGTAATATATCAAATGCATTTTTGATTTTAATTTATACCAATTTTAATTATTTAATTTAAGATATTAGAAATAATATATTTTGGGATACGTATATAGCTGAAAATATATATCTTTTAATTATTCTAAATAAAACCTGAATTTTATGTTAAAAAAAATGCTATTTAATTAAAAAAAAATTGTTATTAATATAAAGAATAACTTACTTTTGCAGAGAATGAATGCTCGGATAGTCGCGCTACTTGCATTAACATCCGTAATTGTGCGAATATTATAGCAATCTTGAGGGATAGTCCGAGACCACTTTCGCCAGAAATTTTTCAAATGCTTAGGGATGCGCAATGCGGCTTCGATGGCAACGACCCGATGGTTTGCTGCGTGAGTCAAGTAATAATTCTATTAAATTAATTTATTAAACGTATATATAATATAAAGTAAATTCAATTTAAACTAAAATTTAAGAAAGTAAACTTTTTATTTAAAAGTAACATTTCAAATTTAATTTAAAGTTGACTTGAAATAAACCGTAAAAAAAGTAGAATGAATAGAAGTGTCATTTGGGAGCTATGATTACAGAAAAAATACACATTTTGTGCGAATAAATTATTGTAGTAACTTTTGTATTATATTAATGAGATTCAAAATTATTCATACGCTTCCGATTTATCTCTAATTTTTGTGATATAAATCTATGATATATTAGAAAATTATTTATGAGCGAATCGATCGTTTTTTTGATCGTGTTAAAAATGTCGACATACTTTGTCAGAAGCGTTAATGCGTTTCGGATAAGTCTCTATCACACTACTTCTCATGTGTATGTGATATGTCAAATTATACATGCACCGTTGCGCTATGGTATTATTAACGTGACGATGTTATCGTTTCACAAGCCGCGTTTGATAGTCTTCTAAAATAACGCACAAACAGGTTTCTCCAATCTCTCGACTTTCCGTTTTATATCCCGATCTCGTTGTATTAATCTCCACTCGTTGAAATCTGAGTGAAAAGTTCTGTTAAAATTCCATTTTTTTTATTGTATAGTTTGTGAAAAACAAATTATACAACAAAAAAATCAAAGACTATGTTGCAATCAAAGTTCTTCCCACTTTGATTTCGAAAAAGGATTCTCCAAATTAGATAGTAAACTACAAAGAAATTTCTACGCTCGATCTCTTCATTTTTGAAGAAATCTAAATCTTCCTAAAGGTTTCCGAATCGTAAAGCCGTTGATTACAATAATAACAGATCTTAACGTATGATTAACAGAAATAAATGCAAAATAAATGCAAAGTAAATCAAAATTTGAATGTATCGCTTCTCTAGATTATTTATAACATTACATATTAATCTTTAGAGACAGACTACACCACCAACATTACGACCAACACTATCGACAATTATCACATCGCTACCACCAACGACGAAACCCATAGTGGCGCAGGAAATCGACGTTTCCTCTCCGCCAGATGTTACGAATCATCCGAATCTACGTCTATTAGATCTTCAAAAGTGCGGACCTATCACTGAGCAGAGAGTGTATGGCGGTAATAAGACCGGAGTCTTCGATTATCCGTGGATGGCGTTGATCGCGTACGATACAGGAAAGTCAAATCCGGAATTCCGTTGCGGTGGTACAGTCATTTCCGACCGATTTATCCTCACCGCCGCTCATTGCGTCACCAAACTTCCAGCGGGTAAAGAAAGAAACTCTTACAGAAAATATTTAAAAAATTAAAAAAAAATAAAATAAAAATTTATAAAAAGAAATTAATTTAAAAAGAGTACAATTTTCCGAAAGAAATATTTAAAACTATTTATTTCCCTCGAGATGGAGATTTATTCGTTTCTTACTTATAATCGATGCAATCTTTTACACAATCAAAACCGTCATATTTCAGATATCAGATCGCTGATAGGCGTCAGGGTGGGAGATCACGATATAAGCAAGGAACGCGATTGCGATTACGACGAGAATGGACTTGAGATCCAATGCGCTGAGAGATATCAGGATTTCGGTGTGGAAAGTTTCTACTATCATCCCGATTATACACGAACGAAATTGCAAAATGATATTGCGCTCATTAAATTAAATGGTTCTATAGACTTCAGACCTTCGAATGTCAAACCGATTTGCTTGCCACTCGGCTCTGCGGCATTGATGATCCCGAAAAAGGTGAGAATATTTTTGGTGTCCTTGTTTTTCATCTGTAAGCATATCAAATTGAAATCGAATCGAATTCAAAGATTTTTTGCTTTCTGATAATTGCATTATTCTGAAATTCTACTCATTGATAGTCCTCCGTTCATCTTTGTGTATCTCTCTAATGACGCTGTATATACAATTTTTCTAATTAAGCTGAAAAAATTAAAAGTAAGAAAGGACAAGTCATATATTCATTTAAAATTTTCCATCAATTTTTTCGAAAAAGGTGCTTCCTCCGCTTCTTTAAAAAAATTTGTTTTAATTCAGAAATTCATCTCTCAATTTTTTCAAGAGAAATTCACTCTCTCCCGATTTCAAATCTTCTCGTTTCTGATCGATAGGCGATAGTGACCGGCTGGGGCGCGACGGAATTGGGCCCGCGCAGTCAGGACCTTCTCCAGGCGAAGTTGCCACTGGTGCCCACCGAGCAATGCAGGGAGGTCTACAAGCGGTCGACGCAGATTTGGTACAAGCAATTATGTGCCGGGGGTCTGCGCGACGTGGATTCCTGCTTCGGTGACAGTGGCGGGCCTCTACAAGCCATCGGTATATACAATGGCAACACAATACGCACCATTCAACATGGCGTGGTCAGTTACGGGGTGAGAGAGTGCGGTACCGCGGGCATCCCGGGTGTCTACACCAGGGTCGCTTATTACATGGACTGGATCCTCAACACGATGACGGACTGACAATGAGGTCGATCGTGATTTTGTCGCGTCAAAAATCCACTCCAATAGAGATGGACATCGATTCTTTTCCAGTTCTCCGGAAAACGCGTCTTTTGTCTCGTAGGTATTTCTGATTCGCCGGGCATGAAATACAATAATTTAGATCGCGACAAAAACGGGAATTGGAACTCCGCGGGATAATAGATAAGATTGATTTCGAATAATTGGCAGAACAAATAAAATTGCAACGGCGAGAGGATAGAACTTCAACGCTCGAAAAAGTAAGCGGTTTAACGTTTACAAAACATGGACAATTCTATTGATGAATATTTTTAAATAATAAAAGTAATTATTTTTATTATAATTTTTTTTGGTTTATTATTCTAATCTTTTTATTAGACTAAAGATTATATCTTTCTACCGGTGCAATTTTATTTCATTAGAATCTTGCGAAGTTTTGACTTCGAAAGCTAAATGTAATTCAAAATATGTTATAATTTTTGAGTGATGAATGGTCTTGAATGAAAAGAGAAAAAGAGAAAGAGAGAGAAAAAGAAATTTTCTACTTTCTAGAGAGTAAGACATTTTATTGTGCTGAACTGATATGCATATTTATGATTTAGTGTTAATATGTCATGTTTGTACTCTTTATAATATATCTTTTTTTTTTCGTAAAAAAATGCATTGCTTATGTTCTACGAAATGCAATTTTCTGTCAACCACAATAACATCCGACTTCCCGAAATTATCACTATTATTTTTATTTAAAATGATTTTTTTGTATCGATTTAAAATCATTTTCCATTTTATCTTTCACGAGAATATCAGACATTTAACCATAAATTATTATTAATTTATGAATTTTTATAAACAATTGTAAATAAGAAAAAAGTATATTAAAGAAGATACAATTTACAAGATATATATTATAGTAATGTAAAATATATAGATAAGCATATTAAGAAAAAATTAATTCTTTTCCTTCGTTAATTTTAAGCAAATTTTCAATTCAAAGCTCAACTATATAATTTTATCATATAACATATGCTCTATTAACTATATATTATAATCAATCAATATAATATAAATTTGAAATTTAGAATATCTTCAGAAGAATTAAAGATATCAGTTTAATTTTTTTTTACTCTTTGGCGATGACATTGCCCTCGTTTTACAATGCATCTTCGTGTTCCTCGCTGCGAGATCGCTCGTCGCTGCTCGTCGACTTACGATCCTCGATCAGTTCCGCCGTTTCGTTGATCGACACCTTGAGCGGGCCGCGATCGGTCTTCCTCTTCGACATCGAGCCTTCCGATTTGACCGCTGACTTATCGGAGGAACCATGTGACGACTTCGATGATGATTGGCTTGAGGAGATTAGAGTACCGGAAGAGCTGGTCAACGATCCTGAATTTGGTCTGTAGTTGCTAACAAAGCTCATGTACGAATCTAGACTGCTTGACATGGGCCTCTTCGGCGGCTGCTTCTGTTTTCTCTTCTTCTTCTTCTTCTTTTTGCGGACGCTCTTTGAAGAAGTTTCTTCTTGTTGTGCCATTACAAGTGACTGGAAACTCTGTAAAATTTATCGCATAAAGCGTAGTTTACACGATACTTCTGAAGAATCTATGAGCTCTGCAAATGTCTTGTACATAGTTAATATTATTATTATTATCTTATCATTTTTCGTTATAAATTGCATATGTAATCATAAATTTAAAAAATGTATGTTTTCTCTTGTTTTATGTTGAATTTAATATAATAACAAAGTAAGTAATAATATACTAATATTATACTTTCTGAATGAAGTATGTTAATGCGCGCTTAAAGTGTACAAATGAAATATTGCCTGTTTAAAAATATTTCCTTGCCAGAGAAGAATAAGATAATTGATGAATATATTATTTGTTTCTTCGATCCGGGAAGTATAAGTATTATTTCCGTGACTTTCCGTTCGCATAGAACTCATTATACCTGAGAATGCCGTTCGAACAGAGTCGGTATTTGCGTCACACGATCCAGCATCATCTCCATCTGCAGACGATGACGCTCGGCCTGCTCCCGCGCCTCGTCCCGACGAAGAGACGTCCGTATATCCAGATCCCTGTCATGCTCGTGCCTTGTTTACGCGACATTACATCAATGTCCGAATCGTAAAAGTCGGAATGATTGGATCTATAGATTGGATTCTGCGTACCTCGCAGCCGATCTCAAGGCTCTCCACGCGGGCTTCCGACCGATCAGCGTCTCCCTGAACTTCAGTATCTGCTCCCGTCGTTTCTCCTCCATTCGTTCCCGTATCTCGCGCTCCAGTTTCTCTCTGCGACGAGTTTGCGATCGTCATTTACGCGTGTGAATTCCCCTCTGATTAAAGCAATTAGAAATATGCGATCGGTATTTGAAAAATTAAATTTACACATTCAGAAAAAATTTTATCGTACGAAAAATTTCTGCGTCTCTATTACGTCAAAATAATATCTCTGCTTTATATATATATGCAGAATAAAAAATTATCTGTTTATCTGTTTTCCTTAAAAAAAAAAATTATTTTTAAACGCTACTTGTGTTTAATGTTATTTTCATTAATATTATTAATATTATTTTCTTATTTATTCCTAAATTAAAATTAGAAAATTCTGTCAAAATAAAACCTATTTAAAATTAACCTATTTAAAAGAAATAATATGCATTTCTTTATTTAATTGCATTCCTGAAATGTAAATCATCAATTTCACGGTGTGTGTGATTGCTTAAAATTAGTTAATTTTTGATATCCCGACAACGAAAAACAACCTGACCTTTTTCGTTAATTTTCCACGATATTATAAAATTAATTCTTCGATACCAGTTTATCTAATATTAATCTTATAACATTTTTTTTTTTTTATTGAATGTACAGATCGTACCGGGAAGCCTGACATCTCAGGATCGCGGCCAGATTATTTCCGCGTGAGGACATCGCGGACGTCATCGCGGATCTGGTTCTGTCGGACACCGTCGTTGTCGTCGTCGGAATAACGGACTCGTCATCATCCTTGTTGGACGCTATATCCTGCAAATGTGCACATGCGGATTTGACACGCTCGCGTCTCGCCATCGACGGCGGCAAGGAGGAGGATTTCAGCAGCTCGGCGGCCCTCACCCTTTTCTTCAGCTGTCTGGAATAGCGCGCAGAATCTTTATAATCTGAATTTAATCCTCTTTAACTCTCGAAGAGTTTTCAAGTAATCCTGCTAAGCCATTTAACTTTCTTGAAAAAGGTGGATTCTAAATAACTCATCGTCCCAACGGTTTGAATCGTAACTAAAATTTTTATCCGTCTGTAAATTAAATATTATACCTCGATGTCTACCTGAGAGGATAGGCAATAATTTCCGGACATTTAAATAACGGTGCGATTTCGCCTTCTTCGCGATGTTTGTATTATCAAGAAAAAGAAAGAATGCGCGAGATACAATCTAGAAATAAGCGTGAAGATGTCCATTTAATTTTTTTCCCGAATGAAAAAAAATAAGAAATTTGACGAAATGTTCGGGGATTGACCTGTAATACTCGTCTTCAAGCATGCGATCGTAAACCTCAGTGCCGAACAAGTTTCTCGGTACAGGTTTGGCCTTGAAGCGCGAAGAACTGCTTTTGCTTGAGCGGAGCTCGGGGCTAGACCTTGCCAAGGAACGCCAGGCACGGCGATCGCACTCTAGCTTGAAAGGTCGCACCTGCGACAGCAGATTCAGGGCGCTCTCCTCGCGGACAATGCGACTTCTGGAAACCAGAAATGCACGATATATCGATTATCATAATTCATTTTTATTTAAAACTATGATAGGTGAATCTATTACACATATTTTAAAAGATAATAAATATAATTAATAAGTGTTATAAATTAGCGATTAATTCAACCTTAACACTGCTTGAGAATTAATAAAGAAGCAATACATATTATAAATTATATGTATATATACAAAATATATAAAAATATATTAAAGTATAATTGAATTTTCAGAATTAAATAAAATTGACATTAAATTCGCGAGAAGTGTCAAAGTATTATGCGGTCTTTCATCCATATTATAAAACAACATGGCTCTGACCTTTCCTCTTTCTCGGCCATCAATTTGTCATAAAGCGGTATCTTAGACGTAATAGGAATTGGTCTGACTCGTCGTTTCTTCGAAGGACTCTTTTTCGCGTTATCCTGATTCATACGCTCGGTCGCCTCCATTTCCGTCATGTATTTTTCCGCTTCTTCCCTGAAATAGAGTAAATTTTTTTATGTTAATTTATATAGATATATATACATAAACAGGAAACAAAACGATATATTAAAACAAAATGAAAAAATATAAAGATTAAATTAGAATTATAAAAATTAATCAATGTATAAATTATATTGAGACAAAAAGAAACGCTTGAAAGCCGCGTTTATTGCACAGCCATTTTTAAATACAGATATTCTTAGATATCTTTTGGAAAATTTTGTTATTTGAAATTGCACCTCAATGTAAAGCTAAATGGTTTGGGCAACGTAGGGTGCCATTCTTTCGAGCTATTAGGCGGCAAACTCTTTGTCTCGATGCTGTCTTCGCCATCACTATCTACGCTATTATCACTTTTTGATCCACTCCATGTACTCCAACTTTTATTAGCCGCGAATATCTCTTTATTGCGCATAGTTTTTATCTCCTTGTCCTTATCTCTGCATCTGGAATCAACATTGGGCATCGGTAAGCAATGATGATCGAACAAAATAAAATAGTATCGGAAAAACCTTAGAATAAATAAAATTAAAACCATATAGCTAAAATATATCTCTATATATTTTTTCTTGAAAATTTTAAAATACGCACTTTTTAATGTATAAATTAAATAGAGTAAGAAAGAGATAGAGAAAAGAAAATATAAATATATAATTATATATATTTTTTTACATGTAAATAATTTTTATAAATATATACTAAAAAATACGTTTGAACATTAAAATTTTTATCAATCGCTTTCTTTGCATTTTGTTTGATAATTGATACATCACCTGTACGTTAGCAGATCTTGATCCTCGGCAAGACCGGCGAAAGTGCCGGATGGGAAAAGTATCGGGCTGCTGGTCCTGGACTCTTCGAGATAGCATTTCTTACCATTCAGCTTGAGATCACTGGCAATGTCCGACTTGATATCCTTCGATTTCGAGTTCTCGTTTCTTGTAATCGACAATTGCGACGGCGGCTTTTCCGCCAAATCATCTAGTGAATCCCTTAAATTCTGTAGAAGTAGTCGTTGTTTCCTCCTCAGATACTCGACCCTCTGCTTGAACTGCTCGTTCGACAGGTGGTGTATCTGCCCGTAGTCCGGTATGCTCTTCATGAACTCCAGAAAGTTTTCCAGGGTATCGCGCGGACTCGACGATTTCGAGTCCTCAGCAACGGCAATCGGTTCGCTTTCGGCAAAGTTGATCTTTTTTACCTTCTCCGACCTTCGACTCCTCGTCGACGACAGTCGAGGACGTTCATACGAGGGAGTTGGTTGTCTGCTGTAAGGATCCACCGGCATCTTCACACACGAATGGAAGAAAGACGTTCCTTTATGCTCCGTCATGGTTTACTGAATTGTGTACGATATAGTATGATATAAATAACAATAGAATATAAATAATAGAGAAGAGAGTATTGTCTGTAACTTTTAATAAATTTGAGTAAAAAGGTTGTGAATATTTTTAATAAAATGAATTAAATTAATTTAATCACATTGTTAAATAAAAAAGGATATTGTAATTTTTATAATTTTATACGCGATAAATATTTCAGAGTTATTAAAATAAATCTAGCTGTGGTTCTTTTAGCATATTTCCTCATTCTCTTTCTTTCTCTTTCTATTTATAAATGTGTCTTTCGTGAATGTATATCTCAATTGCTTTTGACAAATTAAAAGACAATTTTTCTCATAAAATCAATGTATGTAATCTCGAAATTAGAGATCTATTATTAAATAATCTCTCTGTGGAGGATTTCGATATTAATCACCTTTCTTAATTATCATTCGAATCATCAGACGAATGCAACTCCAGTTCAATCCTGAAGGCAGAAGGTTTGCGATCAGATGTTGAAAGAATCAAAGATAACGACGTGCTGGCCGCTTCGACGACCATTACTACCTGTCGACTCGGCCGGGAGAATCAATGCAACCTGGCCCGACATCGCCGTCGTCATGGTGAAGTCCATGAGGAAGTGCTAACGCCCTGCAACCAGTCCCCACCAAGATATGAATGGCGTGCGAAATAATCGATTTGCTTCGAAGGTTCAAGGTAAAACCCTCGTGAATGTTATCACTGGGCGTACATATACATACGTACAAAAATTGTTAACCTTTTTAATTGAATTAATTTATGGAAGAAACAAATATAGCTAAAAGAACAAAACAGCTAGATTTATTAATAGCTTTAAAATATTTATCGCGTCTAAAACTATAAAAAATACACCATTCTTTTTTATTTATCATTATTGATTAAGCGGAGCGTATGTATTGTTATGTGTTTATTTTCAAAAGACTTGTAGTATTAATTATCTTATTGTTTTAATTACTTATATAAATAATGCTTATATAAATTTATATATAATAGCTTTTAACCGGTGCGCAATAGTGCATCCAATTGAATTAATAAATAACTAATTAAATAATATAAT